CTCACTTGGTAGCCCAGGTTGGCCTCGAACTCACAGAGATCCGCCTGGCTCTGCCTCCCGAGTGCTGGGATTAAAGGCGTGCGCCACCACCGCCCGGCCTGTTGGTTATTTTTTAATCGATTGTTTTTTTTGTTGTTGTTGTTGTTGTTTTTTTTTTCTTTTTTTTGAGACAGGGTTTCTTTGTGTAGCTTTGAGCCTTTCCTGGAACTCGCTTTGGAGACCAGGCTGGCCTTGAACTCACAGAGATCCACCTGCCTCTGCCTCCCGAGTGCTGGGATTAAAGGCGTGCGCCATCACCGCCCGGCAATCGATTGATTTTTGTGTGACTGTTTTGTCCAAACACTGTGTGCTGTGTGCCCTTGGAAGCCAGAAAAGGGCATCAGGTCTTGTCAGGTGTGTACACACTGCCTGGCCATGTCTCTCTATCTTGATTTGTTTGTTTGTTTTGTTTTTTTTCTGAGACAAGGTTTCTCTCTGTAACATCCCTGGCTGTCCTGGAACTCGCTCTTTAGCCCAGGCTGTCCTCAAACTCACGGAGATCTGCCTGCCTCTGCCTCCCAGATGCTGGGATTAGAGGCTTGCGCCACACCCGGCCCATGTCTTTAGCCCTTGCTACACACGCTGTGCTTACAGTCTCTCTCCCACCGCAGACGACGGACTGCTGCTGCTGGTCGACCTGATCCGACTGTTGTCTCCCAACTATGTTGTTCAGTTGTCTACTGCCCGGGGACGCTTGATGCCCGCTCTGACCTCAGAATATGTGGAGCTCACAGATGGCCTGTATACAAAAAGCAAGATCAGAAGGAGACATCGAGGTTTTGAAATTGAAGAATTTGAAGACAGTTTGGAATTTACTGATGAAGAGAAAGACTCCAGTCCAGTTCCGGTCTTCACTGGACATAAGCTGATGTCTGTTCACTCAGAATTTTTATGTGATAAAAATGAAAAAAACAGGTAAGTAAAGTGTCACTGGTGTAAAGAAGGAAGCTTCCTGCGGTGAGCCAGGCATTGTGTGCTCACTTGTTTAGAAAACTGGTCATGGTGGCCCTTGCCCTTCATTATTGAACCTGGGAGGCAGGGCCGGGAATCATGAGTTCAAGGCCAGCTTGTTGTGAAGCCCTGTTGCTGTTCGAATCTTAGATTGTCTTTTAATGAAAAACCCAGAGCCAGATGTCAGGGTGAAAGCTGAAAGATCAGAGAAGCAGAGCAGCCAGCCACTAGTTCTTACCTCTAGGAAACCCTCAACCTAAAGAAAGTGAGTTCCTGTTTCCTCATGCCTTATCTACTTTTCTCTGCCCAGACATCACTTCCTGGGATTAAAGGTGTGTGCCACCACTGCCTGCCTCTGTTTCCAGTGTGGCCTTGAACTCAGAGAGATCCAGATGGATCTCTGCCTCCCTGAGTGATAGGATTAAGGGTGTGTGCCACCACTGCCTGACCTCAATGTCTAATCTAGTGGATGGCTCTGTCCTCTGATCCTCAGGCTAGTTTATTAGGGTACACAATATATCACCACACCCTGTAAACAAAAAGGAGAGATAATACTCTTAAGATTTTTTTCCAGTTACCACTGCTATATGTTTAAAGGAGAATGATTCCTGGTGGGGGCATGGAGATGGGGCTTCCCACGCTAGTGACCAAGGGCTCAGTGCTGAGGGGTCGTTGGGCTTTCTGTTGTTTGGAGGACTGTGTCAAGGCAGGGTTTTAGGTGGGGAGAGAGCAGGGGAAGGGTTGGCCATCGGACCAGGGTCTTGAACGTGCTAGCAGCTCTAACACTGAGCCACATCTCCAGCCCGAGGGTTTGAGGGTATCTGAAAGAACAAGGTCCAGTGTGCTGCCTAATGTCAGTTGAGATGCTGTTCCCTTCTGCCCCCAAGTGGGTTTGGTGTGTTCTCCACTCAACTTGCTCTGCTCTACCTTTCAGGGCCAAATACAACAAAATCTTCCGAGATCTGGCAGTGTTGGGTTACCTTAGCCAGCTGATGCCTCCTGTGCCAGGACCACTTAGTCCTCTGCACAGCCTCACACCCTATCAGGTAATCAGAGTGGTGGGAGAAACTGTCTGTTTACTGATACTTGAGGCCTCCTGTGTCCCGGGCGCTCTGCTTCCTCCTGTATATTGCTTCCCTAATTCTTAAAACGGCCCTGTGGTTTGGGTTCTGATATTATCCCCATTTTTCAGATGGGAAAACTAAGGAACAGTGAGGCTGGGTTACCTGGCAGAAGATGGAGAGCTGGCATTGGGTCCTTGGCTGGCAAGCTTAGTGTCTGGTGTGGATTGTAGTTTCATGCCAGCTCTACGTTGCCTGATCTGGTGGCTGTCTCTCGTTTGCACTGTTACCTGCATGAGGGTAGTGCCTGATGTCTCAGGACGCTGTAGGGCTCCGTGAGCCTTCCTGGCGGTGCCTGGTACATAGAGTAGCCTCCAGGGGACCTTGTTATTCCTGTCGGGTTCCAACACCAAAGTGTTTGGAACTTTGAGTCCAGGCTGCTGGGGATTGCTTTGGGGAATGCTCTGTGGTTGGGATCTAGGGTGGAGATGGTGAACACTGACCGAAGCAGGGTGTGTTTGGTGAGGGTGTTTGAGCCCAGAGCCTCTCCCGTGCTGTGTGCTGTACGGAGACTTGTGTCCCGCCAGTCAGTTCCCAGAGAATCACAGAGACTTAGTCACTATAAATGCTCGTGCCAATAACTTAGATTGTCTCCAGCTCTTACAGCTTAACTTAACCCATTTCTATTCATCTATGTGCTGCCCCAAGGCTCATTGACCTCATCTGTGAACTTCCCATGTTGCTTCTGCTTCTGGCTCAAAATTCCTCAGACTCCACCTTCCTCCTTCCAGTCATTCTCTCTGCCCCGAAAATCCTGCCTAGTCATCAGCCAATCAGCTTTTTTATTTAGTTAGTTATTTGTTATGTATAGTGTTCTGCCTATATACCAGAAGACGGCAATAGATCAAATAACAGATGGCTAGGAGCCACCATGTGGTTGCTGGGAATTGAACTCAGGTCCTCTGGAAGAGCAGCTAGTGCTCTTAACCTCCGAGCCATCTCTCCAGCCCCTCAGCTTTTTATTAACAATGAGAGCAACACGTCTTCACAGTGTCCAGAAGGATCACGCCACAAGACTAGGCTGACAGCAATCAGCCTAAGCTTCACCTGCATGTGCACACGTACTGTCTTAGGTACTTTTCTATTGCTATGACAGAACACCATGACCAAGGCAGCTAATAGAAGAAAGGTTCATAGGACTGACTGCTGGGGAGGGTAGAGTCCAGGATGGCAGATCACAGGCATTGGTGGGAGGAGCGCCCCAGACCTCACTCACATCTGGATTCACAGTAAGAGGCAAAGGCAAGCTGGGAACTGCAAGTCTTTTGATACTTCAAGCCCACCCCACTGTGACACCACTTCTCCAAGACGACACCTCCTAATCCTTCCCAAACAGTTCTACTAATTTGGCAACCAAGCATTCAAACTTATGACCCTATGGGGGCCATTCTCATTCAAACACACACACACACACACACACACACACACACACACACACACACACGGCAGCATTTTGGTTTTTAAACCAAGAAATACTTGCTTTGAAGGCAGCGCGTACATCTCCACAGTGTCCACACACCTCTGCACAGCAGAGCCGGAGCTCCCTGGGCTTTGACAGGAGAGAGCTGCGCTGGTGAAGACAGCTGCTCCTGGGGGTGACATAAGGAAAGTCCCCTGGTGTGTGTTGTGTGGAATGGGGTACTCGTGGCCTGAACCCTGTCCTCTGCTCTCCTCTCTGCCCTTGTGCTTTGGAGAGTTGACGTGGCCATGGCACACCATTCTAGAAGGCACCTTAGGAAACACTCAGGAGCATGGCTAAACATGAGGGTGATGGACAGTTGGCTTTGGGTTTGGGTCTTTTGTTTTGTTTTGTTTTGTTTTGTTTTTACAAGACAGTATTTCTCTGTGTAACTTTGGTGCCTGTCCTGTGTAGCCCTGGCTGTCCTGGATCTCGCTCTGTAGACCAGGCTGGCCTTGAACTCAGAGATCAGCCTGGCTCTGCCTCCCGAATGCTGGCATTAAAAGCGTGCACCACCACTGCCTGGTGCAGTGAGTTTGAAAGAAAGCAAATTTCTAGTCAGCAAAACCCAGCTGGTAAATACTCCAAACAGCCAGAGGAAAAAGTGGGCTGCGACTGGAATGGCGGCGCTGCCTGTCATTCTCCCGGTGGCCGCCAACACCTACGGGAAGGTCCCTTCAGCTGCAACCTTAGCGTACTGTAATCTGTTGGCTTTTGTGACCCTCCACTTTACACATCCATATCTCCATGATTTCCACGGCTGACGCCTGAACAGCTTTCCCCTAGTCAGTCAGTCTACGGAGAAATGTCCTGGAATACCACAGATGGACACTATTGCCAGGGCTTTTCCTCCCCTGCTGTGGTTTTGTTTGGAGCTGAGGAGAGAAGGGAATGAAGATTGTGTGGATGGAAGTTCAGAAAGGAGGGAACTACGTGACCCCGGCTGCCTTGAACTTCCGGTCCTCCTGCCTCTGTCTGCCATATGCTGTGAGAATAGGCATGTGCCACCACACCAGTCTTCTGTGGAGCTGGGGATCAAACCCAGGGCTTCTGCATTTTCGGTCAGGACTCCATCAACCAAGCCATCCCCTAGTTTGTGCTTTCACAACCCAGATTTTGGCTGGGTGTGACGGCACACGCCTGTAATCCCAGCACTGGGCAAAGCAGAGACGAGAGGGTCCCTGGGGCTTGCTGGCCAGTCAGTCTAGCCAGATCAGCAAGCGTTAGGTTTGCTGAGAACCCCTTTTTCTCAAAAATTACATTAAAGGGTAAAGTCTGGTGTGGTGGCATATTGGGTCTCTGCTTTGAGGCAGCCTAGGAACAAAACACCTGAAAAACAAAACAGTGTGGGGAGTGGTGGATGGGAAGATGCCTCACCTTACCTCCTGGCCTCCATAAGTGAGTGCTCAAAAATACACTCAAGTGAGCACACGTGAACACACACAGAGAACACAGTTAAAGCGTCTCTAAGTCAGCCGTGTGGTCTCTGCCGTTAGCTCGGTGCTTAGGAGACTGAGGCAGTGGACTGCACGTCTGAGGTCCACTTGGTCTGCACAGAGTCTGTGTCTCGGGAGGAAGCCTCTCAGTAGAAGTGACTCAGGGAGATGAGCAGTTGCGGTTGATTCTCCAGGTCCCCTTCAGTGCAGTTGCCGTTCGGATCACTCATGCCGATGTGGCCCCTGCCCACATACTGTACGCCGTGAATGCCAGCTGGGTTGGCCTTTGCAAGATCCTGGATGATATGAAAGGATACACTCGGGGGCCCATCCTGCTTGCCCAGAACCCCATATGTGACTGTTTGGGCTTCGGTGAGTTGAGAATAAATGATACCTCTTACCCTGTCCACTTCACTGTAGACCGCTGGTCTTGACCGTGTACCTGTACCTTGTCTTTGGGGAATTGATGTCTTTCTCTGTGCTTCTCCATGTTACATTCCTTACCTTCATCACAACTATCCAAGGTCTTCGGTCGGCCTGTTTGGTCCCTCACAGCTGAACAGGGGGATGTCCAAAGAATTAAAGAATTATACTTTTTTAAGATTTTTTTATTTTTAGCTGGGCATGGTGCTTACTCCAGGAGAAACAGGCAGGTGGTTCTCTGTGGCTTTCATTTTAATTATGTGGGCATGTGCACGAGTGCACACGCTCCTGGAGACCAGAGGTCTTGGGGTTGGATCCCTGGAGTTGGAGTTAGAGCTGCCTGAAGTTGGTGCTGGGAACTGAACTTGGGTCCTGTGGAAGAGCAGCGAGCACTCTTACCCTGCTGAGCCATCTCGATGCCCCTCAGTTACTGCTCTTCGTGTTCCGAGAGCGAAGCACTAGAAATTAAAACACCTTAATTTATTTCGTGTATGTGTTTGCCTGCATGGCTGTCTGCATCCTGTGCCTAGTGCTCTCAGAGGCCAGAATAGGGCTTCAGATCCCATGGGAGCAGAGTTGTGAGCTACCATATGGGTTCTGGAAATGGCACCCAGTTCCTTTGCAAGAGCATCAAATGGTCTTAACTGTTGAGCTGTCTCTTCAGCCCCAAAATAAAACTCTTCTTTTTTTTTTTTTTTAAAGATTTATTTATTTATTTATTATGTATACAGCATGTATGACTGCAGGTCAGAAGAGGGCACCAGATCTCATTACAGGTGGTTGTGAGCCACCATGTGGTTGCTGGGAACTGAACTCAGGATCTCCGGAAGAACAGTCAGTGCTCTTAACCTCTGAGCCATCTCTCCAGCCCCCAAAATAAAACTCTTTTTTTATGTCAAGATGAACCTCACTTTCTGTTGGTTGAAATGTGCACTGTCTGCAGAATGGCTGATGTTGCTCTGTATCTTCAAGGCATCTGCAGAGGCATTGACATGGACCAGCGGCTGTACCACATCCTCACCCCTTTGCCTCCAGAAGAGTTGAAAGCTGTGAACTGTCTGCTGATTGGTGCCATTACTGTTCCGCATTGTATTTTCAAGAACCAGGTGAGCCCACACAGGACAGTCCTGTGGGGAACCTGGGCAAGTGGAAATGAGCGGGTTGGCTGCGTTAAGGCAACAGTTCCTTTATCTGGGAGACATACACTTTATTATGTGGTTTGAATGACATAAGATATGGGATATTGGATGCCTCAAAAGGTTCAAGTCAGGATCTCAGTGTAGAGCCAGTTTAAAAAAAAAAAAAAAAAAAAAAAAAAGGAAAAGAAAAAGGCCTGGAGAGATGGCTCATCAGTTAAGAGCACTGACTGCTCTTCCAGAGTTCTGGAGTTCAATTCTCTGCAACCACATGGTGGCTCACAACCATCTCTAGTGGAATCTGATGCCCTCTTCGGGCATAATGTTGTACACACAGATAGAGCAGTCATATACATAAAATAAATAAATCTTTTTTTTTTTTAAAATAAGGTGTCAGATGGTGGTGACACACACTTTTTTAATCCCACCACTCGGGAGACAGAGGCAGGCAGATAGATCTCTGTGAGTTCAAGGCTAGCCTTGGCTGCAGACAAGAGTTCCAGGACAGGTTCCAAAGGAAAACAGGTTCCAAAAGGGAAACCCTGTCTCGGGAGGGGGGGAAAAAAGGCCTTTGAGGAACATCCTAAGTGTCTCAGGCTCCAGAGCCTGCTGCCCAGCTGTGTTCCTACTGGCGTCCAGTTGGGATAACCCGTCTGCTCCTCGAGGCTGTCTGAACAGGACCTATCTGTTTGTGTTTCCATTCCAGCCTGGGCTCGAAGGGACAATTCCTTACATCACCACGGATTATAACTTTAAACTTCCTGGAGCCTCGGAAAAAATTGGAGAAAGAGAGTATGCAAATGGATTTCTTGGGTACAGAGCCTATAAAAGAAAATAAAGCCTTGCTACGGACAGAGACTTTCCTTCCTGGGATCCTTGTCCTCAAGCCCTGAGGCAGCAGACTGAGTGAGGCTTTCTGGCTGTGAGCAGCAAACTCATGTCCAGTGTTGATGTGACTGGAAAATGTGCTGCGTACGACATAGCTTTTCTCTTTCCTCTAAGACAGGGTCTCCTGTCTGTCATCCAAGTGTGGCATTACAGGCCTGTGTCACCACACCTGGCGTTCAGGCTTTTCTCCTAAGTTGTTTGATCTCAAACTTGGCCTGGACTTCACAGCTGGCCGTCCTGGCTGAGTGGAGCAGCAAGGGAGGCTGTGCTGGTCGTCAGACAGGAAGTGCGCGGCCCTCTCCCTTCGCGGCCAAGGACCTGACTGTCGGACTCGAGATAAAATTTGGGAAACCAGGGCCACAAAAATGTGTGGCATCTGGGCAGTGGTGGTGCACACCTTTAATCCCAGCACTCGGTCGGGAGGCAGAGTCAGCTGGATCTCTGTGAGTTCGAGGCTAGTCTGGTCTACAGAGCAAGATCCAGGACAGGCACCAAAACTACACAGAGAAACCCTTTCTCACACGCGCCCCCCCCCCCAAAAGTGCCGCTAACCAGGGCAGCAGGCTGACCCAGCAGTTCTCAGGTGCAGTGCATAGCTGCCAAGGTCCTGAGCAGGCTGCGTGATGGAGAGACTTTGAGCCACGTGGACCTTACCAGTGAGGGGAGATGACTCCAATGCCTGATCCTTTGATGCCATTGAATCTCCAATCATGTTGTCAAGTGTTAGAGGATTGTATTTGGTCTGTTAGTTTCTGGGTCATTTTAATCATGAGACTTTATGTTGAAGAAGTTGCTCTGACATCCAGAAAACCTCCAGAAGGTTCCTTAAGTATGGGAATGCTCTGACTGACTCCTCCGTTGAGGCTGGACACACTGCCATGGGGCCACCAGCCTATGAACAGACACATTTGTGCCTGGCTTGGACAAACCTTTGCTACCAGCGCTTTCTTATAGGAACCAGGAGGCCACTGCAGGTACCATTTTTTTCCTAGTGGATTTTGTAATTAGAAGTGACTGGGTCAGGTCACTTTTGTGGTTGAAAAAACAGGCCACTGAGCAACTTCTCAAGTTGGCATGACTGACATGTCAGGACTCCACCTTCCAGTAGGATCATGTTCAAAGACCATTCGAGGCTGTGGAAGGTTTAATGTTTATGTTCATGTACACCATTGATTATCTACATCTTGTCTGTAACCATAGCACGCTGAGTGTTCCTGGTCTTGTCTGCTTGGCCCCATCTTTGGGACACTGCTGGGTGCCCTCGGCATTTGAAAAACCCATTAGGAGACAGAACTGCAGTGGCCAGCCACTTAACTCGCTGTCCCTTATTTATTTCTAACGTTAGCTTGTGTCTTTCTGTGTGGTGGGGAGGGGGCTCTTACCATGTTGCCCAAGCAGGTCTCTGGCTCCGTTGCTCTCCCTCTTCCGAATGCTGAGGTCACAGGTGCAGTTAGCCTAGCACCACCCCTCTTCCTGTCTTCCCCGGGTCTTCCTGTCTTCACAAGAATAAAGATCCTGAAATGCAGGTCTCCCTTTTGCATTTTTCATAAAGGTGTGCATTTAAGTGACCTTCACTCATCAGTAGAGACCCAGTGTCGGCAGTAGAGGGAGCTGTGGGCATGGGGCAGGGGGCTGGGAGGAGCAGTCATCTGGAACAGGATTACTGGAGAGAGGTCTCGCTGCGAAGCCCTGGCTTAGGTAAGACCTGCACCAAAGTGTCTTCTTGTCCATGTGATTTTGGTGTCAGGGCATTTGGGGCAAGGAAGACATTGGACTCTGCCATCTTTTTGGGGGGTTTGTTTTTGTTCTGAGACAGACAGGATCTTGGCAATGAACAGTCTAACCTCAGACGCACGCACGATCCTCCTGCCTTAATTTCCAAGGGCTGGGATTGCAGGTGTGTTTGGTGTAACAGACACTTGTCTTCGGTGACTCTTCTTGTGTGGCCTGTCTGGAAGGCGAGCATCAAGGTTTTGTCCCTCCTGAAGGCTGGGAATGGTGTGGACATAAATGTCAGGACACAATTCTCTGTCAGGCTTCCCTTCAGTTCAGTCCTGTTGCCGTGTGTCTTTGTGAAAGTGCACTGATAAGAAGCTACATCTTCAAAAGCCCCTGCGTACTGCTTTTAAAATTGTCTATTCCCGTGTAGAAAACAGCCCTTCAGTGCCCACTGCGTAGGTGGCACTGAATCCTGTGAACATCACATCTGACTCTTGAGTTTAAAAATAATTCCCTACTGTGTGTGATTTCTGCCATCTCCTTTTACTATGAACTTTATCATTAAAATTTTTGAGAACATCATTTTATGTACTTTCAGTGTGTAAGAGATTTTATTCCAGGTGATTATTTCCTTATTTAACTTTATTTGGTTCTTGTTTTTTGTGACAGGATTTCTCTGTAGCCCTGGTAATTATTCAATTTTATTTGTTTGTCTTTTTTTTTTTTTTTTTTTTTGAAACAGGGTTTCTCTGTGTAGCCCTGGTAATTATTTAATTTTATTTATTTGTTTGTTTGTTTATTTTTTGGTATTTTCAAGACAGGGTTTCTCTGTGTAGCTCTGACTGGCCTCAGACTTAGAGATTCTCCAGCCTTTGTCTCTGCCTCCCGAACACTGGGATTAAAGTGTGCTCTACCACCACATGGCTCCAGGTAATTATTTAAATGCTTAAGAAAAACCATCTGGTTCATGACCATCCATAACTCCAGTTCCAGGACATCTGATACCCTCATCTGGCCTCCATGGGCACCAGGCATGGACATGGTGCACATACATACGTGCAGACAAATGCTCGTACACCTAAAATAAAATAAATAAATCTAAAACAATTTTTAAGAAAGAAAAAAAGAAAAGAAAAACCATCAGAGCTGGATGGTGGTGGCGGCGCACGTCTTTAATTCCAGCACTTGGGAGCCAAGTGGATCTATGTGAGTTCGAGGCCAGCCTGGTCTACAGAGTGAGATCCAGGACAGGCATAAGAACTACACAGAGAAACCCTGTCTCGGAAAAACCATGGGAATGAAAATAGCTTTGGGAAGGAGGCTTAATGAATTCAAGGGTCACAGGAACCCTGTCAGGCACCAAATTGCTTCCCCGACTGAGGCTGTATAAGGTAGAAAAGGGTGCTGTGTCCCTTTGGGGGTTACCCAGAAGGGGGTTATGCACCAAGGAGAGTTCAGGAGTTTGGCTGGATTATTTGGTCTCATTGAGTAACCCTGGCTAGCCTGAGATTGGCTGTGTAGACTAGGCTGGCCTTGAACCCCTTCCTGCCTCTGCCTCTCCAGTACTGGAATCAAAGGTGTGCACCCAGGTTCTAGAGACATGGCTCAGTAGTTAAGAGCATTGCTGGTCTTGCAGAGGACCAGGTTTGATTCCTAGCACAATTCTGATGCCCTCTACTGAACTCCGCAGGCACAAGCATGGTGGACATGCATACAAACAAACACACGTGCAAGCACATCACTATTTAAATCTTAAAAAATAAATTAAAAACAATGTGTACCTCTACATCGGGCTGGCATTCACAATTTTTTAAATGCAAACAGTGAACCCTAAACTGGTGTCTGCAAGAGATGCCTCAGTGCGATCACAGTCCAGCTCAGGACAACTCTGGTTTTCCCTGTCCTGGCGTGGCCCAGCAAAGAGAACCAGATTTGCTGACAAGTCCAGCCTCAACAGTGGCTAAAATAAGGGGGCCATCTGTACTGAGGGGGAAAACCCATGTGACCTGCAGGGCCTCTTTGGAAAAGCCTTGCGTGGTTAAATACCCCGAGACTTTGCCAGGAAAGAGCAGCTGGAGGGCAGGCAAGGTTGCAAGCAAAAAGGAGATGCACCCAGGCACGGGGTGAGCTTGCACTGCACATGCCAGAGCTGAGTAAGCAAAGCCTTAGCAGTCAGCAGATAAAGCTGAGATGGACAGACCAGGGCCTGTCCTGGGAAGCCTGGGGTTACCATGGTTTCCGGCCCGATGTCATTAGCACAGCCAACAGTCACTGGCTGGAGTTCTTCTGATACTTTTGAACTTGCTTAGATTCCGGGGTGACCAGCCCTGGCGAGTATTAAAGAGACACCTAGCTCCCAGCCTGTGTCTCCAAGAAGCCCCACAAGGTCTCTGCTGCTGGCCAGGGGGTCCTAGAGGAGCCTCTCCCTGCTATTGCTTTCCAGGAAAGGAAGAGGGGTGGCACCATGCAGACTCTGGAGTCCACACATTAAAATACTTAAAATACACTGTGCCCAGGAGAGCAGGGTTGGAAGGAAGCAGATTGGCAAGGACAAGAGCTCTGAGGTTTTTCTGTGCAGACAGATTAATCTGGAGAAGTTAAGATTGGTGTTCGGGGAAGGAGAGGTCCTTGAGTGTTGCGATTGCAGCTAAGCAGTGAGGACATGTGGCAGGAGGGTCCTGGAAGCAGGGACTCCGTCCTGGCAAAGCCTAGACTGCCACCTGACCGACAGCTCTGCCTTCATTCAAACGTCGGTGAGTTTGTTTCTTTGTCTACAAAGAAGGCTTGAGGGAGTAGAGGAGCAGGTCCTGGAGAGGTTGCCGAGACCCTTCCAGAACTGCCCTGCAGGCTGGAAAATGTCTGCAGTCATCTGTGACTTGGTGGATCAAGAGCTTAAAAATCAGGTGGTGTAGCCAGGCGGAGGTGGTGCACGCCTTTAACCCCAGCACTTGGAAGGCAGAGGCAGGCAGATCTCTGTGAGTTCGAGTCCAGCCTGGTCTACAGAGCGAGTTCCAGAACAGCCAGGGCTTAGGGCTAGATAAACCCTGTCTTCAAAAAAAGAAAAGAAAAGCTTGGAAATCAAAGACCTCTGAACCTAGAATTTTAGCCATGAACTTTGATTTGGAAGGTTGAATAAGAAAAATGTCTAATGGGCTGGCTAGAGGCCTTAGTCTGTAAATAGGCACGCCATGCAAGGCTGGTGACCTGCGTTCAGTCCCCAGCAGCCACATGAAAGTGGAAGAGAACTGACCCCAGAATTGTCCTGTGACCTCCATACATGGCATGTTGCACACAAACACAATAACATTTTAAAAAATGTTGAGGGTGCCTAACACCTCCCTACAGACAGTCGAATTGTGTACATTAGAGTTAGATTTCCATTGCTGGACGGTCCAGGCCGCCAGACTCCTGTACCGCTCAATCGTTCTCTCCTTTTTTGGTGGTGCTGACTAAACCTCGCACACACCCACAGGCAAGTGCTTTATCACAGAGCTATGCCGCTCTGCCAACTGCTACTTTTTCCTTGCTTCATGATGTTTACACACTCCCTTTGATTTTCATTTCATTTATGGTGTGAGTATAGATGCACTTGTACCACGGCTTACAGGTCAGAAGACAATCTCGGGAGTCCATACCCCTGCTCCACCAGGGGTTTCAGGTGAAACCAGGTCATCTCTCCTGCACAGCAAGTGCTGACCCACCTCTGTAGCCCCTTCACGTTGAAACCTGCCTTCCATGATGGACATCCGGGTCACTCTTGTGAGTGATGCCTTTGTGGATGCCCCCAGTCTCTGTCTGCACCTGTGAAAGTAACCACAGGGAATGTGACTAGAAAAAGGGACTTGCTGGGTGGACGAGAGCATGATCCTGGATGCTGCTCGCTCTGTATTCAGTGTTTGGACCTTTATCCGCTTTCTAGGTCTGGTCACATGAGTGTGTTCTCAACATACGAGCACATGGGGTGGGAGGCTGGGCAGGCTTCCCCTAGGTGATCCCTGGGCGTCTCTCTTCATCCACTCTTGTTACTGACACGCTGTGGCTCTTGACAGGGGCGTGTGGAGCTGCCACAGGATCTGACCTCATGCTTGTAGAACTGAGGGTAGAGGGGCAAACCATGCATAACTAATCTTCTACTAGTTTTTCCATGTCCAAAGACCCTTTATACAGGAAGCTTTAAGACAGCCTTGCTAGGTAGCCCATGCTAGACTCAGAACTTGCTTCAGTTCTACTCTTTCTGAGAGCTGTGATTAACAGGTGTGACCTGGCTTCCTCCGTTACAGAGGCAGCTTTAGCATCCTGGACAGTGCAGACCAAGACCCTGTGTAAAGGAGCAGCCTCTAAGCTGTGGGAGCAGCAAGTGACTGACTTTGTGAGCAACACTTTTATTGTCCAGGAGAGTAACAGTGACTGTCACCCAGAGTGTCTGTGGCAAAGGTTTTAGTCCCTGTCAGAGAATTTTAGTAACTCCAGGGTTTAGTTTGTTTGTTTGTTTTTGTTATTGTTGTTAAAATAGGGTCTCATGTAGCCTAGACTGGCCTTGAATTCATTATGTAGTTAAAGCCAGCCTTGAACTCCTGATCTTCCAGTCACATCTCCCAAATTGTGAGCCATCTGATGTGGGTGCTGAGAACAGAACGTAGGTCCTCTGGTGCTCAGCAGGTGCTCTTAACTGCTGAGACATCTCTTCAGCCCCCCCCTCCCTTTTTTTTTTTTTTTTTTTGAGATGGTGTGGAACGCTGCCTGTCCTGGAACTCAGTATGTAGCCCAGGCTGCCCTCAAACTCATGGAGACCCGCCTGCCTCTGCCTCCTGAGTGCTGGCATTAAAGGCTTTGGCCACCACACTCAGGAAAATATTACTGTATTTTAAAAGTTATCCACAGGGGCTGGCCAGATGGCTCAGCAGGCAAGGGGGATGGTCACCAGACATGATGGCCTGAGTTCCGTCTCTGAGACCTGTGTGGTAGGAGATAACTGGCTCTTGAAGGTTGTCTGCCGGCCTGGGACACAGGTATGCTGGTGTGCACCCTCTTCTGGTAGCCTACACTGGCACATGACCACTCAGGATAAGAAAGAGTAAAGGCCCTTAGGGGGGCAAGGGGCCCTTTTCTGGCCTCCGTCTTCCCCCTCCATGATCTCCTTGAGGTTCCTAGTACAGTGACCAACCTGCTTGGCCACTGAAAGTCCTACGTGTGAGACTCAGGTTAGGGAGGACTGGAAGAGCCGGTCATCCTGGCTCAGCTGCAGGGTATTTTGTCGTCTCAGGGCCTCTGGCCATGCTGCTCTCAGTCTGCATGGCCAGAGAGGTCCTTCTGCAGCATCCCCGTCTCCTAGAGAGAGGACAAGGCTGAAATAACGTACATGTATACCCTTACCCCCTTTCTTTCTTTTTTTTTTTTTTTTTTTTTTTTTTTTTTTTGGTTTTTCGAGACAGGGTTTCTCTGCATAGTTTTGGTGCCTTTCCTGGATCTCGCTCTGTAGACCAGGCTGGCCTCGAACTCACAGAGCTCTGCTTGCTTTTGCCTCCCAAGTGCTAGGATTAAAGGCGTGCACCACCACCACCACCCGGCTTACCCCCCTTCTC